GAAACAGGAAAGAAGAAAATGTTTTTGCTGTTGTTGTTTCCTGAATGTTTACGGATTCTTTTTGTAACCTTGAAAGTACGATTGCCTTACATGTCTGACTCTGTGTTGTGTTGGTGTACGTTTTGTTTTGAACAAAGATACTGGGTAAGGTTGTAGCAACATCTCCTAACTTCACAATAATAATAATAATGGATTGCATTTATAAAGCGCTTTTCAAGGCACCCAAAGCGCTTTACAATGCCACTATTCATTCACTCTCACATTCACACACTGCAACAGCATATTTTACACATTGATACATATGTAATTGTAAAGCAAACAGTTTATTACTATGTACTAAGAACTAGCCTGCTGATGGAATTAACCTCACTACAGTCGATCTTTTTATGTTTTCTTTTGTTTTGTACAATAATGTAAATATATCTGTTTTTGTATTTATTTAGCTCACACAGTTTAATTTTAAGTCACTGTGCTGTTTGTGTTGTCACGAGACTGCAATAACTGTAGAAATGCAAAATGCTTCACTTGTGCTGTAAATGCTTAATATAATCACACAGCAGTACTTTTGTATAGATGTGCTAACTGTAGCCACAAACAGTGATCCGTACTGTCAGACCATAGAAAGGAATCATCGACAAAGGCCTGTTTTTTTCGAGTACATTTTATTGAAATAAATGAGTTTTCGTCATATTTTATTATCTGTTCTTGTCTTTGACTTGTCATAAAGGTAAAAAGAAAAAAAAAAACATCCTGAAAAGTTAAAAACAAACCGAAACTAAACAGGAAACAACAGGATGTGAAACCAGTTAGTTCTGGTGGTTGAAACAGTAACCACAGACCAGGATCTGGTTCTTGGTTCACTCCAGTTCAAATCAAGAACAAATTTGACATTTTTACTACTTGGGGGGAAAGGGGCTTGAATGATAAATCTAGTTAATATCTTTAATATCTTTCTTTTCTTTTCTTTTTTGCAGGTCAATACGTGGGTTAATTAATTCTTAACAGCCAGTCCCCACAGCTAAGTCGCAGTCTTCTCTCACACAGGGGAGATTTTTCTGCATGAAGTCATTTTAAATGTTTTTGCAAGATTTTCCAAACATTAACTTTCACTGCGGATGTTTAGTATTTTACAGTGTTATTGACCCACAGTCATATCTGATGTGAAACCAGTTAGTTCTGGTGGTTGAAACAGCTAACCACAGACCAGGATCTGGTTCTTGGTTCAAATCAAGAACAAATTTGACATTTTTACTTCCTGGTGTTTGTTCCAACATATTTTAACTTTACTAATATTAAACTGGAGGTTTGTAGTATTTGTTGGGGGGGCTTGAATGATAAATCGAGTTAATATCTTTGTTTTCTTTTCTTTTTCTTTTCTGCAGGTCAATACGTGGGTTAATTAATTCTTAACAGCCAGTCCCCACAGTTAAGTCGCAGTCTTCTCTCATACAGGGGAGATTTTTCTGCATGAAGTCATTTTAAATGTTTTTGTAAGATTTTCCAAACATTAACTTTCACTGCGGATGTTTAGTATTTGACCCACAGTCATATCTGTTCCATTTTTGCACTGATCATCACCTGCATTCATGTATATATCGATCCGCTTTGCACTTTTAACTTTTATTTTTATGTTTATTTAAGTGTAGTCTTACTTGTTTTGCACTAAGTACCGAAGCAATTTCCTACTGTTGTAAACTCAGCATTTGTCAATAAAAGTCTTTCTGATTCGGATCTAACAGCTGACCGCTTCTCCTGGGCCGCGCCATCGTCTGTGTGGGGCAAACAGCACATTTTCCATACATTTAGGTCAAAGCGTCAAAAACAAAACA